GTTTCTGAAAAACTAGTTTTCTAGAAAACCAGGTCTTCGAAGGCCTAGCAGCAAAAACCATTGTCATATTCGGAATCAGCATAGTCGATAACCTATTCTCCACCAGATTTCAACAAAAAAGCGAGCGGACACTTGGGGCAGTTCCCTCGTTAGACGTGTAGTGTATTGAGTTTTTTTAAGGTAGAGTGTGTTTTGCTTGTAAGTTATATCATTATTTCCTACGATTACGGAGAAGGAACACGTCTGATCTCCGCTATGAGTTTTTTCATATTTACTTGCACCGAAGTTTGACTTTGACTCTCATTCATTATAATATATCATATCGTTCCTCAAATATTCACTAGGACTCTGTCGCTCAGCTAAATGGAATCCAGATGGTATTACAGTTGCTGGTGATGCCACAGGTCTAGCTGGTTCATCTATGAATCTATTAAATGATCCATACGATATTGCTATTGGTTTGAAGCAGAATTTAATTATTGCTGATAGAGGTAATAACCGTTTACAGTTGGTCCACTTGAGTGCGAATAGTCCAACAAATAAATTTTCAATAATATTAACAAATGTATCAGCGTTGAATGTATTCGTTGATCGAATGAATAATATTTATTTTTATAATACACACTGTGATTGTGTACAAAAGTTACTACATGACAGTAAGGTAGTTAAAACTGTCGCTATTGGTATGAAAAGAAACGATTTTTCAATTCCAACTGGTATCTACGTTGATCAACGGGGTAATCTATACGTATCTGATGTTAAAAATCATCGAGTTTTGAAGTGGTTGCCAAATACACCAGCTGACAGTGGTATTGTTGTTGCCGGTGGCAATGGTGAGGGAGAGGCAGCAAATCAATTGTACGATCCACGTGGTTTGTTTGTGGATGAATTCAGTAATGAAAAAGGTGCAATATACGTTGTTGATTCAAGTAATCATAGAGTACAGAAATGGTTGCCGGATGCCAGAGAAGGAGTAACAGTGGCTGGTGGCAATGGAAAAGGTTCAAAGTTAAATCAGTTGCAATTTCCTGCAGCAGTCATTGTTGATCCAAAAACAAACTTACTATTGGTATCAGATAATCAAAATCAACGAATTGTTAAATGGCTCCCAAATGCTAAACAAGGTGAATTGATTGCTGGTAGTAACGTTGGTGAAGATAATGCTCGTGGTAGTGAGGCAAAAATGCTTAATTGGCCAATTGGTATAAGATTTGATTTACAGTGGAATCTGTATGTTGCGGATACAAATAATAATCGAATACAAAAGTTTTTATTTAATAAGTTGTCATGCGAATAGAATTTTGTCATTTTTTTACACAAACATGATCTTTCCTTTTTCTTGTACTTAGTTTAATTATCTTTTATAGAAAAAAATTCATTATTTTAAGATTGTGTGGAACGGAGGCCGGATATGTGTTACTGTGAGCAGAGATATGGGCAATACACGACTTTTCCAGTCTCACTCAAGTTGCAGTTACTTCCTGAACTGTCTGATTACTTGAAGTGATCGTTTAGAATACTAATGTGCTAAAATTCTATTGTCTTTTGGATACTTGACATTTTGAGTAGCGAATGATTGTCCTTTGAGAAGCAGACAATAAATCTTCTAAATTCTACGAATCTGGCTTCCACTCGAAGACACCACTGATGATGGCTCATTTCTCGCAACTATAGTTTCCATCTGTAATCTTTATTTAAAAGTTGAATTTGTTTTACTGGTGTCAAGACTACACTCTGGTGTCCTAAGATTGAAAGTAAAGGATTTCCGCCTTCGAAAAATAAGGATTTTAACTCGTCTGTTACTCTTTAGTTTATCTGAGTGGTGATCTAGACTTATGTAACGGCTTGCCGAAAATATAGTGGAGTAGTGGAGCTATAGGTTACATCAAATGTGTCCTCTATTTGTTTTCTACAAACAAGGCGTTATATATTCAGCAGGGGGAGGGAGATGGTATGAATATGTCAATGGTTCGAAGTCGATGCATTCGACGAAAATCGTAAGATAACTGAAGATGTAATTTACACGTACACTGTGCGAAGAAAAAGTGAATTGGACAACTGACAATGATGTAGCAGAGAACGGCAAGAATTAAGATATTCGAAGATTGTACTAAAGATACCAGATCTACATTAACGACCCAAACGACAAACCTGTGATTTTTCAGAGGTAGGAAACCAACAGAAAAAGAAAGTTGCTCTTAACGCGGAGTTGGATGACTTCGCTCGAGATAATCATTTGACCGTTAACCAAGTGCTGGGTTTCTTGTTGCATCAACGCAAATATCAGAACAACAAGAAACTTGCAGCACTTGGTAAAGTGTTATATGAAACGAAAAATATTGAGAACAGTAAATGCTCTCTAGATTTGGACAAAACTTTAGCTTTGAAAAACCATTTGGACATGTCTACCAATCACATGAAGTTTTGCTAAAGGTTTTCAAGTCCATACCTCAGTATTTCAAATGAAAAGTACATCAGAGCGTATTCTAACACTATCTTACCAGAAACATGTGTCTGGAAAACGGTACCTGGTTACGAACCCACTGGTGTCTTCAATCCATCTCGTGAAGATATCGTGTGTTTAACAGTCAAAAGACTTGTTGAAATGTTACAGAAACAGAATGTCGTAGTGTTGACGTCATTGATTCATCATGAGAAGTGTGGTCATGATGGTACAGACTCCATCATCCATGTATAAGTCCGTTAATTCACCCATGGACACTGCAAACATCTTTTCAAGATGTTCGTGCCGTTGTCTTTGAAAGCAGCTTCGGGCGAAGTGAACGTTATTATCGAAATCAGTATGAAAAGTCCAAAGGTCCGTACGATGGAGTCTGGTCTTGGCGGTACAGACTGTTTGCTCTGCGCATCGAGACGAGCAGACTGGAAAGGTCTAACGAAGATCTCAGATCCAGATGTTTTTGCTATAAACCGCACTGCGGCTAAAACTCTGGATTTGTACAAGCAGATTGTACGCTCAGATTTGTACGCTGACGGTTAGATCGAAAAATCGAAAAATGATTATGGAGTAACGGTAGGTCTGACAAGTGAGTCTCTCTCTTCTACCAACATTCACTATATAACGGTCACTCATCAATATACAAACGAGGTTACGCGAGTGCTGAAAATTATCTTTCACCTACGTAGCTCCGTTTTAAATTGAAGTGAAAGAGGAGATGTGAAAAATCAGATTCAAAAATCGAGAGAACTAGTTTTGAATGAAATTGAGAGTCAGACCGACCTTCGTTTAGATAAATGTGAAATTACCGGAAATATCGGCTCATCTACTGTCGGAGGCCAGGGAAGGCGATTTTTCTCTTTCGAAGTAAGAAAAGTAATTGGTGATACAGTGCCAGCGACACACCGACCATCATTTGAAAAGTTCCTCCACTACTACTCCGTACTTTTAAGAATTGTATCATCGGCAGAACATATAAATGTGGAAAAATTCCGACAGTTTTGAGGGAATATCGCAAGTTTAATTGCGAAGGAATTTTCTTGGGCGGAGTATTCGATGATCGCCCAGAGTATCGTCTTTCACTCTGCACGGTTAATCTTTCGAAACAATTCTACGGAACTCGACGAAATCTCTGAGGAGGCACTGGAAGCGACAAATAAGGATATCCGCAGCTTTCGCGAGTTTTTATCGCGAAAGTGTGAACATAGTGAGAATATGACCGATGTATTTAATAGAATGTTTCTCAGGAGTCATCCGGTCATGAATCACATTGTGCACAACGCTTGGTCGAGAAGAAAGAGAAAGAACAAGACAGTGTAATCATGTGTGAATGTGGATGACGCCTTATTTCAGAGTATGATTGCTGATGACGATGACGACAATTGGAGTATAGAATTTAACGTGCAGTCTCTACCGTAAAACTTCCTTACCTTCTCAAGGATCCAAGACTGTTCTTGCTTTTTTTTAGTTATCCGGCGCGATCAATCAGGAAATCCGTTCTACATAATGACAGTGCAATGCGGTTTTAGAAATAGGATCATTTGGACACTCAACCCCAGGGATCTTTTGAAAAATCTGTCACAGAATGTGGTTCTCAAAAGCTGTTTCTCTTATGAAAATGTGCTTTCAATCTCACATGAAATTGTTTATTTTGCAAATATTACAACGCAAAATGTGATGTCATAAGTAACCGGTAGAAGTTTAGCCCAGGAAGTAGAAATTAGCTGGTACGCTCTTTGTCTCATTAAACATTTGGATCATAGTACGATGGTTTGAACAAAGTGACCGGTTGTTCTTCACCATGATTCAGAAGAAACCTTTTTGATAACTTCTTTTAGTTGATTTAGACCTGCTGTTACTTTCTTGCGTTACACAATCAACATTTGTTATAGTACCAAACTGTATTGCGAGAACACTTTCCACTGCAAAGAGATGATAGGGTGTTCCTATCGACAAAAATTAAAGAACTTTCAACACTTTTAAAACATTTCTTTTTTGTTGAAGAACTCGATGTGTTTCCAACAACGGCTTCATCTTTACTCCGGAAATGCTCGATGGAAACATGGAGTTCTTGTCAAGAAATATCAAGGTTGGCAGGGAAAAACATGACGTTCTTTTGGAGAAGCATCGAGTTCTTCAAAAAACAAGATGAAGCTGTTGTGGAAACACACCGAGTTCTTCCAAAAAAAAGATGACGTTCTTGTGGAGAAACATCCGGAAAGTATTTGAAATGTTAGTACACAAATCTCTTTTGCAACATCTGAATAAAAACAGAATTTGTTTTCGCAATGCAATTCGGATTTCGACCTAAATCATCGACAACAGATGCATTGTTGCATATAACAATAAGGCAACATCAAAAGCTGCAAAAGTCACCTCAGGTGTGCCTTAGGGCAGTATCCTTGGCCCTTTGTTATTTTTAATATTTATTAATGACTTGAGTCAAGGATTTCCTCCAGCGGTCACAGCATCTCTTTTCGCTGATGATGTCTTTGGACTAATTCCATTGCACAACTTCAGTGATTTTACAGAAGTACAGAACTTTCTAATGTCATGCCAGACTGGTGTGTTAAAAACGAAATTTCGTTAAATATTAAAAAATGTTTTTTTATGCCTTTTTCTAACAATAAACTTCTTACTCAATACACTCCACTTTATCTATCAGGATCTTTATCTTTTATACCAAAAACTGTATCAGACTGGAACGTTTTGCCACGAAAGATTATTGCTGCTTTTTCTGCAAATTCGTTTAGACGCGCGTTGTGTGAGTATCTATTTAGTCTGACTTAATGTAAAGGGATAGACACAATAGAGAATTTACCCGATCGGATAAATTCGACCTGGGAACAGCTGAGGGAAAAGACGAACGCAAAGATTAGCGTTTGATTGAACCTCAAAATCAACATATTTTAGATGAAAAAATCAATAAAAGAAGGGGGTCTTCTAACGTGGTTTATGAGTTATGAGTTCAAGAGGGGTCTTGTAACAGGGGGGTCCTCTATTGCCCATCCCTTTAGAACACTTCGGTATGATTTATAAGCCATAACTTACTCTTATTGCTATTCTTTTTTTCTGGAAGACATCGATATTCGGAGAAACATCGACTATTCCAGGAAAAGGGACGAAGTTCCTGCGCAGGAATATGGACTATTTCCGGATAAAGGATGATATTCAATATGATAAGGATATTCATTTAATTCTGGATAAGATCTTGCGGAGACACATCGAGCTCTTGAGGAAAATAAATGAAGTTCTCTTGGAGAAACATCGAGTTTTCCAGGGAAAAGGACGAAGTTCTGATCGACACACATCCAGTTCTTCAACAAAAAAGATGAAAGTCTTCTAGAGGGACATCTGGTTCTTTTAGAAAAAAGATCAAGTTCTTCCGGAGCAAAATCGACTTTATCCGAATAAAGGATAATATTTAATATGATGAGGATATTTATTTAATTCCGCATAATTCCTCGTGGAGAAATATCGAAGATTGCACGGAAAAATATGAAGTTCTTGTGAGGAAACATCGAGTTCTTCTAGAAAAAAGATAACGTTCGTCAGAAGAACCATACAACTTTTCAAGAAAAAAGACGAAGTTCTTGTGGAGATATACCGAGGTTGGAAGGGAAAGAAACGAAGTTCTTGCGTAGGAAAATGGACTATTTCCGGATAAAGGATGATATTTAATATGATAAGGATGTTTATTTAATCCCGGATAAGTTCTTGTGGAGAAATATCGAGGTTTCCAGCGAAAAACATGAGGTTCTTGTGGAGACACATCGAGCTATTCAAGAAAATATATGAGTTCTTGTTCAAATGGCGAGGCTTTTAGGGAAAAAGACGAA